CCACCCGCCTCAGCCTCCCAAAGTGTTGGGATTATAGGCGTGAGCCACTGCACCAGGCTGAAATGGTCTGATCTCATACAGCAATTCTATATTCCGTTTTAGAGACTGTATTTCTAAATTTAAAGGAACATGAAGAGCTAGCATCAGAAGGAAAAAAAAGAAATGTATGAAGCTGAATACAGAATAAAAGCATGTAAGAAAGTAACAGGTCTGAATCTTTTTTTGTAATAATTTGATATACTGACACTTTTGAAATAAACAGTAGTAAAATTAATCAGGCATGTAAATGTTTAAATAGATTTTTGTTTTGCCAGCTCATCAATTCACAAATTAGTATACATTTACTAAGAATCTAGTAGACTCCTCCAGATACTGCTGGGATAACTGACAGATGAAAAATACAGAGATTATCTAAATTAATCTGTAAACTCCATGAAGACAGAACCCATAACCATTTTATTCCCTGCTGCTATCCACAGTGGGAAACATAGAACCTGATATGTAACACTGAGAAGGGATAGAACATATTTTAATAATCTGCTCTACTAAGTTGTAAGAGCATCAAAAAATCATAGCTATTATAATATTAAATATCAGGGAAATGTGTGTCCCCATAAGATATACTTATTTTATTTTTGAGATGGAGTCTTGCTCTTTAACCCAGGCTTGAGTGCAGTGGTATGATCTTCTAAGTTTTCTGCAATCTCAGCCTCTCAGGTTCATGCAATTCCCCTGCCTCAGCCTCCTTAGATTACAGGTGCATGCCACCACACTTGGCTAGTTTTTTAATTTTTAGTAAAGAAGAGGTTTCGTCATTTTGGCCAGGCTGGTCTTGAACTCCTGACTTCAAGTGATCCAGTAACCTCAGCCTCCCAAAGTGCTGGAATTACAGGCGTGGGCCAGTGTGCCTGCGTTCCATAAGATCTAAATGTAGTTATCTAAAATTCATATTTAATGTTTCAGGTTCTCTTTAAAAAAAAAAAAATCAGACCTAATGCTTACTTTCCATAATGATCATATAGCTGATCCAGAAATAATTAGCTTTGCTAACAAAGTTAGAAGAAAAAACAAAAACGTAATTTCAGAAAGAAAAAAAAAGATATAAACAGATGGGTTCCATGCAGACCAGCCTCTAGGGGAGTAGAGTTGGCTAGCTCTGTGGCTTTTGTCCTCCAAGCCAATTTTGAGAGGGGAAAAAACACTGGAAAAGAAAACATTAAAAATAACATCATGGCATTAGTTACCATGAAGCCAGAAAGTCAGTACTTTTCTGCAAACCTAACACGTACATGGATACATATGGCACATAAATCTGAAATGTATTATGTACAGATACTTTTGGAGGTACTATCTTATTTCTTAACAATCCCTAATATGACAACCAGGAAAATCCATGTCATGAGAGACAATTTCCAACATCTGTACGTAACCTCCCTACTCAGCCTCTCCTGAAACAACTGCACATATCAGCATTTAAAAACAATACTTTTAAATGTTTTAAAAAACATTTAAAAATAATACTTTTTCCACTGCTCCTATCACAGTCTCCTCCTCTCTCAGATTCTGAAATAACATACTACAGTTTTTTGTTTTTGAGACAGTCTTGCTCTGTTGCCTAGGCTGGAGCGCAGTGGTAAAATTTTGGCTCACCGCAACCTCCACCTCCCAGGTTCAAGCGATTCTCATGCCTCAGCCTCCTAAGTAGCTGTGACTACAGGCATGTACCACCACGCCCAGCTAATTTTTACGTTTTTCACAGAGATGGGGGTTTCGACATATTGGCCAGGCTGGTCTCCAACTGCTGACCTCAAGTGATCCACCCACCTCGGCCTCCCAAAGTGCTCGGATTATAGGCGTGGGCCACCACACCTGGCCACAAAATTACAGTTTCTGAACGCTCTTTTCTCATTTGCTTATGACTTAATCCCACTTGCAAAATTTCTTTGTAAACTAATCTGCATTAAAACAAAGTCCTTCTATGAATGTATATCCCTAAAGTGCCCCCAAAACAGTTGTCAGCAAGCAACACACAACAAAACTCACCCTCCTTACTTTATGTTTGGTTCTCTCTCTTCACATGTTGTTCGTGGTTATAGAAGTTCTTCCTCCACCCATTTTCACTCAGTTTATGTCTCTATGCCTGCTCCCCAGAGGAAGATGATAAAAGCTACTCCTGCTTTCCAAAGTGTGGAACAACTGACTCTGCTCTGTCCCCTTTTCCCAGCCCCTACCAGTGTTCATGGTTGGTCGGTCTTTCTGCTCAGAGAGAAGAACTTTGAGAAATAAATCTAGTGACTTACCCCAGCAGCAAATCCTAGGTGGATACAACTTGTGAAAAGGGTAATTGGGAGATATTTTTAAAAATATGTTTCTCCATGTGCCACAACAAACCAACGCCTTAAGCTGGGTTCGTGTTCACTGATCAGAGAAGTGTTTCTTCACAGTATGACTGAGAAGGAGTAGAAGATAGAAATTCTAAGACTTTACTGGTAATTTCCCTCTGGAGAGGAAAAGGGGTCTGATTGAGAAGGGAAAAACGAAGGGGATAATTTCTCGTCACTCTCCCTGCTCCTCCCTAGATGCTACCACTGACAAGAGCATATTAAATAAGGACTCTAAGGAAACATGGGCAAAGTAAGAAGCTATCCACTAGAAGCTAAAATAAGTAGAATTTCAGCTGGTAGCCAATGGGCTAAAGGTAAAATTCTCAGCTCCTTACCCCCTGGCAGGGGGCAAGGCAGGAAGAAAAAAACGGTTCTTGACTGAGTGAAGGATTGTATGTGACTGAATTTGCTGTTCCCCTTCTTGGTTCTGTTCTCAGAATCACAGACTGCCCCCCTCCCTGATAAGCGGACTCCAGCACCTGGTAGGGATAAGAGAAGACAAGAGAGAAAAAAAGGGAGACAGAGAAAGATAAAAAACATCAACAGCTATGTTGCCAAACTAACAACTAAATAAATGACATGAAAGAAGGAAAATAACAGCACTAACCAAGATAGAAAGGAATAAACATAAGATTGATTACCTCAAGACAAAATAGGTCTCATCCCCTTTCACACACTAACCAAATAAAAGAGTAACCATTAGAAAAGAAATTTATGATTATTTTTAAAGTTAGAAGTTTACATACTAAAATTTAGGAATTAAATGTTAAATCTGAACGACTGGAATTTCAGACAGTGTTTTATTTCAAACGAATATCTTAAAAGTATGCTGATAATTGTTGTTTTGTTGTTTTTTTTTTTTTTTTTTTTTGAGACGGAGTTTCGCTCGTTACCCAGGCTGGAGTGCAATGGCGCGATGTCGGCTCACCGCAACCTCCGCCTCCTGGGTTCAGGCAATTCTCCTGCCTCAGCCTCCTGAGTAGCTGGGATTACAGGCATGTGCCACCATGCCCAGCTAATTTTTTTTATTTTTAGTAGAGACGGGGTTTCACCATGTTGACCAGGATGGTCTCGATCTCTCGACATCCACCCGCCTCAGCCTCCCAAAGTGCTGGGATTACAGGCTTGAGCCACCGCGCCCGGCCGATAATTGTTTTTAAGAAATCATTTTATTGTTATTACTCATCTTTGAGACTGAGTTTCACTCTTGTTGCCCAGGCTGGAGCGCAATGGTGCAAACTCGGCTCACTGCAACCTCCACCTCCTGGGTTCAAGCGATTCTCCTCCCTTAACCTCCCAAGTAGCTGGGATTATAGGCATGCGCCACCACGCCCGGCTAATTTTTCTATTTTTTTTAGTAGAGACAGGGTTTCTCCATGTTGGTCAGGCTGGTCTCGAACTCCCGACCTCAGGTGATCACCTGACCAGGATGGTCTCGATCTCTCGACCTTGTGATCCACCCGCCTCAGCCTCCCAAAGTGCTGGGATTAACAGGCGTGAGCCACCGCGCCCGGCAAGAATAAATTATTTTTAAAACTAGAAGAAATGGCCTTTAAGCTACCCAATATTGTTAAAGGAAAAAAAAAAAAGGAGATTTAAAACCGTGTAAATTTCAACGGTTATAGTTAATAATTAGCAACACTCATAAACATAATGAACATATCAAGCCCACAAAAAAAAATCTTCACAGTAGGCTACCCATACACTTTCATTACCGATTTAGAGTTCAACTCAACTCCACAAAGATGTGGCAACAATGTATATAAGTAATGGGAAAACGACAGCATATTCAAGGAATGTACATGGCAGTTGCATTGAGCACGGTGAGTGTCATAATGCCACTCACAGAACAGAATTACCGCCCCATCTCTGCTCACAACACACATGGGATAAAACAGCGGAATCACAAATGTGTGATCAGAAACATGGATGTATTAATAACATCGAAGTCATTCATGTTATCGATTAACGTTATTAATTAACCGTTCTGGTGTGGGGGGTGAGGGGAGGGGCGTGTGATATTTACATCATGCTCGAATTTTTAAAAAATCGAAACTAGGCAAGCAATCATTCGGTCACCCCCTTCTCATTCAGAGGGCTGCCAGAGGAAAAGGTGGAATGACCGTCACTCTCTCAAACTCACACGTGAGGAGGGGCGGTGGCACGGGACCGCGGTACACCACCCTCCTCCCGCGGCCACACCGCAGGGTTCGAGAAGGAATGAAAGGGGGGGTCGCGGTCCCCCGGGGACAGGCCGGCGGCCCGGGCCCGCCTGCAGCCGGCGCTCCGGGGTGACCACACCCCCTCCGGCAGGGACAGCGGACTCCCTCCGCCGCCGCGTCGCCGCCCCCCGGCAGGGCTCGCCCGGTCTCACGCACACGCCGCGGGCCGGCGCCTCCCGGCACACGCGCCAAAGCCGGGCCCCGCCTCGCTCCCCGAACACGCCGAGGCGCGGCGACCACCGGCCTCCAGCGGCCCCGGCCCCGGCGCGCTCGGCCCGGTCCCCTCCCCGGCCCGGCCCCGCTACTCGGGAGACCCGTTCCTCGCACCGGCCCACCCGGGAGGGCGCGCCCCGCCCACCGCTCCCCCCGCGGGGCGCGGCCACCGACCGCTCACCTGGCTCGCGGGGCGCCTCCCTCGCTCTCGGCCGGCGGAGCCCAGCTGCGGCCTCCGAGGAAGCGCGGGCCGCCGCACGGCTGGGAGTGGGGCCGGGGAGGAGGGGGAGGGGCCGGCGTTCCGGGAGCCGCCTCCTTTCTCCGCCGCCGCCCGCGGCTCCTGCGGCCGGGCCGGGCGTCCTCGCACGCTCGCCGGGTTCCTCACAGCCCCGCGGCCCTTCAGCCTCGCCCTCACCCCACGCCACACACCCGCACCCGGCCGCTCCTCGCTCCCTCACTCGCCTGCCGCGCGCGCGCGACCCCGCTCACACACAGCGCGCGCGACGCCGGCGGAGCCCGCCCCGCTCCCCAGACCGAGCGCCGCCCGCCCCCCGCTCGCCCCCCGCTCGCCGAGGACCGGCGCGCGCCCCGGCCCCGCCCTCCTGGCGCGGCGGGCGGGGGGCGGGGGGCGGAGGAGCTGGGGGCGGCACGGGGGGCGGCGCGGCGGGCGGCGGTGGGGGGGGCGGGGGACGGGGGGAGCGGGGGACGGGGGGGCGGGGGACGGGGGACGCGCGGGAAGGAGGAGCTGGGGGCAGCGCGCTGGCGGCGGGGGGCGGGGGGCGGGGGGCGGCGGCCGGAGGGGCGGGGGCCGGGCCAGCGCGCCGAGCGCGGCCGAGCGGACCTGACACCTGCGTCCGGACGCGCCCTCCTGGCGCCTCGCCCGCGCCCGAGCCATCGCTGGCCTGAGGAGAAGAGACGCGATGGATCGCGCGGGGGGAGCGACAAGGGAGCGCGAGGGCGCTCCGAGGACGCGCCTCCCCACCCGCCGCCAAACCGTCTACACTGAGAAGGAAACGGATGGGGGGGCGAGGTTTGTTCCCACCCCGAAACCGCGAGATTCCGTGGCGCGCCCCCCCGCCCTCACGCGCCCCGCGCGGGGTCCCGCCCGCGTCCCCACGGCCCCGCGCAGCCCTTCCGCCGGCCGCCGCCCAGAGCCCGCGCTCGCGGGGGTCCCTCCCTCCGGCCGGCAGAGGGATGGAGACAAAGGTCGTCCGTACCCAGAAGGTCTTCACCCGCGAGAGCAGTGGAGGCAGCGCCTCTGTCCGCCGCGGGGCGGGTGTAAACCCGGGATCAGCGCCCCGGCCGGAGCTGGAGCGCGCCCGCTCCGTCCCGGAAAGCGCTGCGGACCCTGGACGAGCCGGCTGCCACGCTTCCTCGCAGCCTTTGTTGTGAGAAGATAGAAAGAGTGGAGTCTGGAGTCGTCGTGAGAATGAAGCGAGATATTTTAGGAGCATTTTGTGAATGCTAAAACTGTGTAAAAATATATATAGCCTGAAGGAGGCTAAGAATACGGATGTTCAACTATGCTGTGACTTTTTCTTAAGGGGGGAAAAAAACAAGGGCGGGAGACGACCTCCCCGGTTTTCATGGAAGATTCATTCCAAATAACTTCGGTCACCAGAGAGCCCAGGGGCACCCTCAGCACTGTGCTCACCAGGTCGCCTTCGTGCTGGCCTCTGCCCTGTCTCGGTGATGTCAGCTAACAACTTTTGCGTGCTCCTCTCCCAGTCAATTGCCAGTATGATTTCATCTTCTGCTTTTAAAAATTTCCTTCAGGGTCTCGAGAATCCTTTAAGAGACGCAGAATAACCTAGGGTGGTACCTGCTGGATGCAGACTGCCTAGATGGGATTTCTAGTTCCACTACCTATGTGATCCTCTGCAGTCATTGAGCCTCTCTGTATTTTAATCGGCTCAGATGTGAAAGTGGGGATAAAAATAATTAACTACTTCATGGAGTTGTCCTAAGGAGTAAATAAGTTAATAAGTATATAATATTTAACACCTGACAAAGAGCAAGCGCTGTTGTGTTTAGTGTTATTACAGCGTTACATCCGTCAGAGTAACCTAGGATAGGCGTCGACTTTAAGCCCTGTAAGATAGATAAACTATCCTGAGAAAGCGGGTAAGGTCGACAGAACTTGAATGTTGCTATTTACTTCCAATCTGATGTTCGGCCCCCGGGACATAAAGTACATTCAACTCAAAGACCAAGAGAAGCCTATTTTGTGATCAAGGGAAACTTGATCACAGAGATACTGATGCTGAAAATCTGGCAAAATAAACAGTGAAATTGACACAGGAAAAAAGTTGTACAAAGGATCAATAATATTTATTCCTTCTCTTAAGGAATCCAATTCATGGTAACTGTGCATCCCCAGAAAAAGTGGGTTGTACTGGTGAAACTGTGGATAGGAAGTATGACTATTAACTCACTTGGCACTTGCCCCTAAAAGTTGTTATTCAGTGTATTGCTACTATGTGCCACATGCATTCTAAGATATTCTCATGTATATAACAACGTTGCTTTTGACTTAAGCTAATAGGGGGTAAAACAAAGCTCAGGAGTGTGTTTAAAAAAACAAAGCCAGGCCGGGCGCGGTGGCTCAGGCCTGTAATCCCAGCACTTTGGGAAGCCAAGGCGGGTGGATCACGAGGTCAAGAGATGGAGACTATCCTGGTCAACATGGTGAAACCCCGTCTCTACTAAAAATGCAAAACATTAGCTGGGCATAGTGGCTCGTGCCTGTAATCCCAGCTACTCAGGAGGCTGAGGCAGGAGAATTGCCTGAACCCGGGAGGTGGAGGTTGCCGTGAGCCGAGATCGAGCCATTGCACTCTAGCCTGGGTAACAAAAGCGAAACTCCGTCTCAAAAAAAAAAAAAGTTGTTATTCAATGTATTGCTACTATGTGCCATATACATTCTAAGATATTCTCATGTATGTAACAACGTTGCTTTTGACTTAAGCTAATGGGGGTAAAACAAAGCTCAGGAGTGTATTTAAAAAAACAAAGCCAATGATATGGCTTATTTTATTCTGATATGGGTTATTTTAAACAGATTACCATTATCATGATATTGTTAAGATAATGTTTATGTGAATAATGACCAAATTCATCCTTCATACTTTTTGTATGAAGTAATGTAATAAGGGAGCAAAAATTATCTACACCATTTCCATATTGGAAACCCAAAGCTCAGACAGGCTGTGCACAGATTCAGTCATAATCTTTGAGCATTCATGGTTGGTATGGTTAGGCAGCTGTGGACTCAAATCTCTTTTGGGTAGCAACAACCTGCTGGAAAATATTTTAAGTAGTTTTTCTTGGCATGATCATGCACCCCTCATTTTTAACCAGTGAATTAGTATTATTCAGGAAGTTCCGGGGTCAATTGAATTCCCTGGGAAGACATGCTATAAGTAACCTAGCATGTCTGAAGTCAGATCAATCTGATTTGAAATCCTAGCTGTATTTACTAGCAGCATGAGACTGTTGCTTAACTTCCATAAACCTCAGTTTTCTCATCAGCAAAATGATCATATCAGCACCACTTCGTTAAGATGGAAGGATTAATGTGGTAACTCAAACATAATGCATAACATAGTAAGTGGTCAGTGAATATTAGCTATTATTGTTTAAGGCTAATTAATACCAAAACAGTCAAATAGCAATTCAGAGAAATTACACAATGTTTAGATGTATCTGACAGTCATACAAATAGTTATACATATTTACTGCATATCCTTATGAGTGTGAGACCAATTCTATGGGTGGGTAATGTCTTCAGGATGGAATTAGGGTTCATCCTTTGCCTGCACCAAAACACTTCCAGATTTTTGTTCTTACTCCTAGACACATGAGAATCAACAGGAGCCTGGTGCAGTGGCTCACGCCTGTAATCCCAGCACTTTAGGAGGCTGAGGTGGGTGGATCACCTGAGGTCAGGAGTTTGAGACCAGCCTGGCCAACATGGTGAAACCCCATCCCTATTAATAAGACAAAAATTAGCCAGGCTTTGTGGCACATTACTGTAATCCCAGCTACTTGGGAGGCTGAGGCTGGGGAATCTCTTGAATCCAGGAGGTGGAGGTTGCAGTGAGCTGAGATCAAGCCATTGCCTTCCAGCCTGGGCAACAAGAGCAAAACTCCATCTCAAAACAAACAAACAAACAAACAAAAAGGTCTTTGAAGAGAATCAACAGGAGAGCCTGCGTGTGGTGGCTCATATCTGTATTCCCAGCACTTTGGGAGGCTGAGGAATGTGGATAATTTCAGGTCAGGAGTTCAAGACCAGCCTGGCCAACATGGTGAAACTCTGTCTCTACTAAAAATACAAAAATTACCTGGGCATGGTAGCAGGCACCTGTAATCCCAACTACTGGAGAGGCTGAATCAGGAAAATTGCTTGAATCTGGGAGGTGGAGGTTGCAGTGAGCTGAGACTGGGCCACTGCACTGCAGCCTGGGCAACAAAGTGGTACTCAGTCTCAAAAAAAAGAAAAAGAATCAACAGGAGGTTGGGTGTGATGGCTCACACCTGTAGTACCAACACTTTGGGAGGCTGAGGCAAGAGGATCCCTTGAGCACAGAAGTCCGAGACCAACCTGGGCAACATAGGGAGACCCTCTGTCTATTTTTGTTGTTGTTGTTGTTGTTTGAGACAGAGCCTCGCTCTGTCACCCTGGCTGGAGTGAAGTCGCGAGATCATGGCTCACTGCAACTTCCACCTCCTGGGTTCAAGTGATTCTCCTGCCTTAGCCTCCTTAGTAGCTGGGATTACAGGTGCCCAGCTAATTTTTGTACTTTTAGTAGAGACTTGGGGTTTCACCATCTTGGCCAGGCTGGCCTCGAACACCTGACCTCAGGTAATCTGCCCACCTGGGCCTCCCCCAAAGAGCTGAGATTACATGCATGAGCCACTGTGCCCAGCCCATTTTTATTTTTTAAAAAATAAATAGAATCAACAAGAGAGCTTCCAAAAACTGATTAAATCAGTATTGGCATCCATGCCAAAAATACTGGCAACCAATATTTTTTCAGATCTCTCCAGGGGATTTTAATACACAGCCAGGGTAAAGACCCAATTTTACACAACAGATATGTTAGAATTAACTATACTGTTTGGTTGTGCTGAAATACACATATTATCTAGCCATTTCAGCTAGTCGGTGAGATTAACCAATTAGAAAATGACAACTAAATTTACAGTACAGGCCGGGTATGGTGGCTCACGCCTGTCATCTCAGTATATTGAGAGGCTGAGGCGGGCAGATTACTTGAGGTTAGAATTTTGAGACCAGCCTGGTCCAACATGGTGAAAACCCCATCTCTACTAAAAATACAAAAATTAGCTGGGCATGGTGGGCCCCTGTAATCCCAGGTACTGGGGAGGCCGAGGCAGGAGAATCACTTGAATCTGGGAGGCGGAGGTTGCAGTGAGCCTGGGAAACTGAAGGAGAAACTCCATCTCAAAAAAAAAAAAAAAGAAAAGAAAAGAAAAGAAAGAAAAATAATGGCAGTACAAAATATTTTAAAGTTTTTGGTGAGATAATAGATA